GACATTAAGGTTTTAAGTATAGATGAAAAAACACGAGCAGACACTTTAATTATTAAATCTCTTCAAGAATGTGTGTCACGAATTGAGAAATTAGAAAAAGAAAAATCTGACAAATTAATATATAAATTACCTGTTCAATTATGTAATTACTCATTATTTTAAATTGATAATATTAACATACATTAACATTTTTAATTACTATCATAATCTGTCATTTCACTTTCGGGTAATTTTGTTGAGGCGTTGCTACACATATCATCTATTAAATCTTCTTCATCAACAAAATTATTTTGAAATCTTAATAATTCCTCGTCTGTTGGTCGTCTTTTTAACACTTTATAAAGTTTATGTATCCAAGAATTAGTATGAAAATTGTAATTACCTCTACGATAAAATCCACCACATCTACATAGTTTCATTAGCATATTATTATATTATATTAAATTAGAATATCTTTATTCATCATTTGTAATTTGAAATGCCTGTTCAAAATTGATATGAAACATTTTGTTAATGTCTTTTGAATTCATATTCACGTAGAAAAAAGAATATGGAGCAAAATTAACGGCTTGATGATACATATCTAATAATTGCTGTTTATCAACAATGGCACTATTTTCTTCAATAAAACTCATTAATTCACTGGCATTTTTCAACCTAAAAATATATAACGAACTGGCATTTAAACGAATGATAGGCGCCAAAACATTGTATTTCTGTGTTGAACAAATTACGCTTACTGCATCGTGCCTACCTCTTGTAAATAATCCATGTAATAATTTACTATATCTAACAAATTTAGGATCGTCGGCATGATCGTCTATAACGATTAATATTGAATGTAGTTTCTTTATCTTTTTAGATTTCATATAATTAATTATTTTCTTCTGTCTTTCAATTACATTTTCTAAATCACTTGGATTATAATTATCAAAATAAATTTGTTCTTTTTCATCATCCACGTGCAATTCATCCCTGATATATTTTTTAACTTCTGTAAAGGTTGGGTCATTATGAACGCTGGGGGAAAATATGAATATTCTTGCAAATGAATTTCTATAAACATTTAAGATAAGGTTCTGAACCAAACTGTTTTGCCACCTGTCGATGAAGCAACTATAATACTTCTAAATGGTAATTTTGGCACGTGCTCATATTTAGATTGTTTGAATTCATATTCAGTTATGTTTATTGGTTTTATTATTGGAACATCTGACATAATAAAATAATATTAAAGTTATCTAGAAAATATTTTATATTTATTATTTTATATGAATAGAAGCTATTCAGATTATATTGATATAATAGATGAAGTAGAGAATATAGAACAAGTTGTTATAACTGATAATAGATGTAAAAAATATGTTATTTATTTTAGAATTAATTAAGTTTGTGATACAATATATCAAAAATAAAAATGTAAATATTAATATAAATGGGAAGAAAGAAAAAGAATAAGACTGAACCAGTTGTTTCTTCAACTGATGAAGAAAAAGAAGAAGTTGTTAAAGAAACATCAGTTATTGAGTTTGCTTGTCCAATGTGTAAAAAGATGTTAGAAATGAAAAATGAATTAGAAATACAAAAGAAAGGAAATTGTAAATGTTCGTGTTTTCCCACAACTTTCAAAATAAGTAAAAATGATAAGAAAATGAATATTGATAAAACCAAAGAAAATATCAACTTAGAAACAGATGTTCATAATATTGCTATCAAATGGGGAAGACATGCATCGCCATCCGATAATGGCGACAAGGAAACTCAGGAAACTGTTAAACAAATGATGAAAAATTAGTATTTAAAGAGTAGATTTAACATAATTTAAACATTTAGCTTTAAAAGTTTTATTTTATAATATTATATATATATTTACATGGATGAAGGAGTAGAAAAGATGGTTAAAAAACTGAACAAGGTTTTAGAACAGAATAAGAATATTTTAGAAATCTTACAAGAAATGGAAAAGAAGAAACCATTAACAAACAGTTATCAAAGTAAAGAAGTAGATAGAACCAATGGTGAATATAAAAATAAAAGAAATATTTATTTAAACAAACTTAATAACAAAGAAATTAAAGAACCGAAGGCTTCAACTATGACATTTTATCAAATCGACTATGATGAAGATACAGGGATTTATTCTTGATTGAAAACATTTTTCTCTGAAAATCCGTTTAAAGACATATTGGCATAACTCATATTATGAGTTCTACAACTGACGAAGAAGAAACAGGATACACAATGGTTTATCCTTGCAGTAAATGCGACGAAGCAAAGCCAAGAAAGGATTGTCACAAAATGTATGATAGAATTAAAATGGAAGAGATATTTTACAAAACATGTAAGGAATGCAGAGACAAAGTAAAAGCAACAAAAGAGTTAAGGAAGGAACAGAAGAAACGAATACAACCCATGGAAATACATAGATTAAAGCCTTTGATACCATAGTTTTGCTATACTTACAACATGTAAGATCTTATATGTTGTAATTATAGTGGTAAACATATTTCTCTAAATTATAATTTCTCTGAAAATGTATGTAAAGAAATGTTACCTATATATGTATATTAGGACAATGAGCGATACAGAAAGTGAAAATAGGCAATATAGTGATACAGAAAGTGTGTATAGTGAATATAGTGATGCAGACAGTGAATATAGTAAATATAGTAACACAGTCCGTGAAGATATTGATGCTAAAAATATATTCAGAGAAAAGTTTATGAGTTATAAATGTAGAGACTGTGAGATGCTAAAATTACCAATTAAACAAGGTTTTTTGAATGGTGTTTGTGATAATATTTGTCAATGTATGATATGTGATAATTGCAATAAAATTATAAACGAAATTGATGATATGAGTAGCAAATATATTAATACTAGAAATGTTAAAAATCTTGATGACGATTTAGAAATATTTGTGTTTATAAAAATGAATAAGTTCTTGACTGAAGAAGAGTTTGGAAATTTATTATATAAGGGCGATGAGGAAGGAAATGATAATGATTTTGTTTTTAAGTATTATAATCTGGTAAAAAGATTATACAACATGTCTTTTAATATTAGGCGTTTAAAGAAAGAAGCATTGAATGATAATGACTTTGATTTTTTAAGTTGTGAGTATAAAGCTCACGAACTTAGATATACGGTAATAAATGCAATTATAACAATGGGCTTGTTTAAAAAGGAAATAGGAAATAGTATATATAATGAAAAAACGACTGATAAAATAATAAAAAGAATTATAACAGAATTTTAAAAATTAATTAGAAATAGAGTTGAACTCATAATATAATTATAACATGTAAACATTTATATGTTATAATTATACTGTACGTTTCCCGTATAAGCCGTGGGGGTGCTTTCCTACATAGGCCTTTCCCATCCGCATTTTGCCATCCAATGTCACACAAATTATTTTCAAGATTTGGGTTAACGGTTTTAGCTCTCCCTTTTCCATTGGTTAACCACTTTTCGGGGCGAACATAGCGTTCTTTTTTAGACTGTTCGTATTTGTTGGAAATGGGAAAGGGTTGCAGTTTGGATCAGGGGAGGAATTATTGAGATCTTGGGGTTGCGATCTTGGGAATGAAAACATGTTGGTATGTAGCTTGGATTTTTTTGGTGGGATTTGTTGAGGTGGCATGTAGTTATGATTGTTGTTATTGAATGAGTGTAAGGGTGATGTTGAGGTGGGGTAAGAAATGAAGATGGGTATGTGAATATGTGTTTTTTGGTGTTGGATTGGTTGGGTGATTGAATTTGAATGTTGAAAATGGGCTGTTTTAGTGGGCGTATTCAGAATGTGCCCAAAAGTGTGGGGGCGACCCTAGGACCGGATGGCAAAATGCGGACGGGAGAGGCCACCTCTAACTCCCTCCCTCCTCCCCCTCCTCCCCCCCCCCCCCCCACCCTCCCCAGTAATCTTCCGTAATCTTTCGGCTTCTTCCCGTAGTCTTCCGTAGTCTTCCGGCTTCTTCCCGTAGTCTTCCGAAGCTTCTTCCCGTAAATTTCCGCAATCTTTCGGCTTCTTCCCGTAGTCTTCCGTAATCTTCCGGCTTCTTCTCCTAGTCTTCCGATACTGCTTCGGGACCAAACAACGCGCGTGTCCTGTGCTTTCGGGCTTCTTCCCTAGGCTTCGGGTAGTCTTCCCCCACCCCTCCGCCCCCCCCTGTGTCTGTCTATGTCTGTCTACGTATCTGCATCTGTCTTCGTGTCCGCGAAGACCCCCCCTGCCCCTGCGTGTCTGTCTGCGTCTCTTTGTGTCTGTCTGGGTCTGTCTGCGTCTGTCTTCGTGTCCGCGAAGACCCCTTGCGTGTCTGTCTCTGTCTCTTTGTGTCTGTCTGTGTCTGTCTGTGTCTGTCTACGTATCTGCGTCTTTCTTCGTGTCCCCCCCCCCCCGCGTGTCTGTCTGTGTATTTGTGTCTGTCTGGCTCTGTCTGCGTCTGCCTGCGCATCTGCGTCTGTCTTCGTGTCCGCGAAGACCCTCCCCCCCCGCTGCGTGTCTGTCTGCGTGTCTTTGTGTCTGTCTGTGTCTGTCTACATATCGCGTGCTTTCTCTCGTCCCGGGCCGAAATTCTAAGGTGTGTGGGGGCGGCGGAACCAGGCCGCAGGCCATTAAATAAGCTGTTTCCTGTAGAATGTCCTGCAAGCCAACCTTTTGAAACAGGTTTCGGCTTGAACGTTGAATCCCGGGAACTGTAACAGGTGTCGGCTGCTTGAATAGTTTATATCATGTTGAATCGCCCGAGCCGTGCCCAAAGGCATGTTAGGGCTTGAAGCCGTGTGAGATGACAGTTCGAGACTTTGCGCGCGAGTGCCAGGCCGAGTTTCTTGCCACACTGACAAAACTATGGTTGGCTTGTGATAAATAGTATGGGCTATTGTTGGTTTGGGGGGACGAGAAGGGGGCGGGAGTCAGCCAATTCACCATCTCCTCTTAGAAAGCAACGACTACTCTCCGTGCGTCACGTGCCTGTGGCAAAAACTGCTCCCCCCGCCTGCCATAAGCAGGGCTGTTGTAGCTGACATAGCCACCTTTGCCATAGCCTTCCTTACCGTAGTCTTTGCCATAGCCTTTGCTGTAGCTACTTTTCCCAAAGTCTTTGCCATAGCCACCTTTGAAGTAGCTGTCCTTCCCAAAGCTGCCTTTGCCATAGCTGTCTTTGCCATAGCTGTCTTTGCCATAGCTGTCTTTGCCATAGCTGTCTTTGCCATAGCCATCCTTGCCATAGCTGTCTTTACCATAGCCGTAAATACCTTTGCCATAGCTGCTGCCGTAGCTTCCTTTGCCAAAGCCGTCCTTGCCGAAGCTTCCTTTGCCAAAGCCGTCCTTGCCAATGCTCACTTTGCCAAAGCTGTCTTTGCCAAGGCTATCTTTGCCAAAGCTGTCTTTGCCGTAGCTTCCTTTGCCAAAGCTACCTTTGCCATAGCTGTCGTAGTCGGCGCTCAGTCCCTGAGTCAACTTTGCTCTGGCTCTCATGCTCATGTTGACACCGGACAAATTATTGTTTCCCCATGGGAAGATCTGTCCAAAAAACGTCAAACATCTTTTGTATGCGGACCCCTTCTTGTCCTCCCCAATCTAACAATAGACTCGCAGCAACTAATGGCTCACATGACAGCTCTGCGACTGCTTGCACCGACTGTCAGTCGGCCTGGTCCTTTCCATAACTCCATGGCCAGTCCATCACATACAAGCTGGTCGGTTTAGGAATGCACACCAATGGCGCGAACGCGACCGAAGTGCACGGTTCTAGGTGCCTAACTATCTACCAGCTGTGATCTGACAAAAGCGCGACTACATGTGGGCTAAAACCTTTGTTGTCTGAGCAATGTGTATGTGTATATATACATATATATATATATGTTATCAGTTCTTGGACAAATTGTACGTCTGAAGCAAAGGCAAATCGGTCTCCATGTTCAGGGTCATGTTCTGTATAGCACAACGATCACCATGCGTTGCTGAGTTCTTAAGCCAAAGCTGCATGACAAGGTTTCAAGCTTCGAAATTGCTCCTGTCAAGCAACCTGAGTCTGTTTCCAGACATGGCAAACCAAGCCACACTTCCCCCAGCCACTCTTGCGCAAAGCAAGCAATCCCTGGCCAACGTCGGGGCGACTCCCCAGAATCCGCAGCTCGCATCCTTTTGAAGCAAACGCCCAGCTTGCGAGGAGAGCTCCTCGCGCGAAATTTGCACCGATTAGGAGAAGAGCAATGGGCTGTCCGTTTTCCGATCCCCTGAAGGTGACGGAACTGGTGGGTTAAATGAAGCCCAACCACTGAACTCACTAAACCAACTGAAAAGCTAAAAGGCTAAGAGGATAGCTGGGAACCACCAAGAATCAACAACCTGCCCTGGAACCCATCAGCCACAGCAAACAGCAATGTTAACGACGCGACTGCCACCAACCAACACCAGCATCACCAGCACCAGCACTAAACCAAAAGTCAACAACCGCGACAAAGACGACAAGCATGACACCCACAACACCCAGTCACGACAGCCGCAACGGCCACAACAGCCAAACAAACACAAGAGCCTCAACAACTAGAACTGCAGCGACAACAACGACCACAACCATAACCGCAATCACCAAGCTGCCTGCCTTTTCAGCAGGTTCATGGTCGAACGCGTGAGCAGACAAGACATCAAGACACCTGCACTGTTCAGCTCACTCAGGGTATCATGGACAAGCCGGGCCCTAAGGCCAAGTAGTGGGGCTTCTCAGCTCGGCAACTTTGCAGGGATAATGCTGACCCCATATTTATCAACCCCAGTTTGTTACTAGGAGGGTGTCCCCCTCCAAAAGCGATGATTTCCCACTAAATCCAGGGACACCCCCTATTAATAAACTGGGGTTGATTAATATGGGATCAACATTACCCCCTTCCCTTCCCACGCTCCCCCCTCGACTCAAGGGTCCTCCAACAGCACCAGGGACGCTGAGGCAGCGGATCCGGACAGCTCACAGGCGCTCAGCGCCGCTTGCAGCGTGAGCACATCGGAATCCTCCGACAGCAGCCAGCAACAGAGCTGCCACTGCGCGCTCCTGGCCACTTGTTAACTAGGCTTAGCCACATATATATATATATATATAAGATGGGTTTCACTACTCCCAAACCACTACACTCAGGGGAAACGATATGTGTATAATATATATATATACAGACACACCCTTTAGCGGCTATTGTGCCATGGATCAAAATCCAAATCGTATCCCCAGTGATCCCAATCCAACCACTAAAATAGGTGCTAAAATGGGTGCTGCACCTACGCCAAAATGGTACCATTGGTGTTGACACACGGCCAGGATGTGAGCCACGTGACCGTGCTCAAAACCGATTCGGGCAGATGAAGGGTAATAAGGGACAATCCCAACCAGAAATAGTTGCGGATATCCGCCTTCTTAATTCTTTACGTGGTTCTGGGTAGACCATTTTGATACCGGGTTTTGAGTATGACTCATGTGTGTGGCTTGGTCTCGAACTGAGCCGTTGGTTTCCCTTTGCCGAAAGCCACACGCTTTCCAACATCGCGCAACTGGTGGTAGTCTCCCAAATTCTTCCGCGCACTTCCTGATTGCTGGAAAGAGGGTAGTGTCAGACCCAGAAAGCCTTCTTCAACATGTTTTAAAAGTTCTGCTCGAAGGGGCCGGAGCAACGGACCATTCGAATGGCAAGGGGCCCTCATGAGTTTCCCGAACATCAGGAGTGGTCCGCTCTCCATGGGATCGGGAGCCCCCAGATTATGGTCCTCCCGACCCCCATTCGAACGTTGACAAAATGAGATCCCCAAAAGGACTCCGATAAAACGATGGTTTTTGGGGCTCCATGTTGATCTGGGCAGTAAACGAACTCACACCAGAACCTCCTTCCATGGTTTTAAGGCTTCCGGATGCAATCGACTGGGGAAGGCTTCCTGGTCTCCTTTGTTCACGCTACGCGGTTCGGTTTACTCAGGGCTGCCTCCTGCCTGGCTGACACGAACCAAAATTGGTGGAGTTGAAACAAAGGAGCCTGGTGCAACCATCAACCACCATGGTTCAACCACGGTTTCAACAGTTTCCAAATTGGTCCATCAACATTTTAACCAAGAAACCCTCAGGAAACAACCCTGCAACTTGCATGTGATGGGATTGAGGGCTTCTCAAACTGGCAGGCCAAAACGCAATGCCAGTTTCGTCTCGCCTCTTGCTTTTCTAGGGTCAAATGGCTGCTCAAAAGAAGGCAACCACCCAGAAGGTCGGCCCCCCAAACAAAGGTAGAACACATATGCGGCCGTGTCCTTGCTTTGGAGCCGCCAAATCAAACCCCCGACTTTGAAACGCGGCTGACTTCCCCTGTATAACCCTTTGGAGCTTAGCTTGGATAAACGCACTAAATAGTAATTATGTGGTTAACCACGCTGGTGCATAAGTCCTCTAACATACATTCTCGTTTTTGCCATTTACTCATCCACTCAGGCCACTTGTTAATTCGGCTTAACCACATATATATATATATAAGATGGGCTTCACTAGTCCCCAACCACTACATTCAGGGGAAACGATGTGTGTATAATATATATATATATACCCTTTAGCGGCTTTTTGGCCATGGGTCAAAACCCCGTACCCCCAGTGAACATCCCAATCCAACCACTCAAATAGGTTCTAAAATGGCCGCTGAATTCACCTATCCCAACATAAAATCCCAAAAACGGTTTTGAACCATGGCCATTTAGTGGGTGGTCTACACTAAAACCCCCAGGAGTCGCCCTCTGCCACCGGGCGGTTTTGCGCTCGCTCGCCGCTCGCTGCTCGCGCCGATCTCCTGCGCGCCGCCGTGGCCAAGGATTTCCACGTGACCTCCGTGGCCAAGATCCGGCGGCGAGCGGCGGCCTCCAGCAGCGCCAGGCCCTGCTGCCACGCCGAGCTCCAACTCAGGGCGCTGAGTCCTCGGCGAGGACTAAGCTGAGTCTTGGAGCTGCAAAGGGGATGAAGATACAACTAACATTCAACTAGAATTGTCAGAATGAAAGTCATAATGAATTTCTGCAAATCTAAGTCATTTGAGTCTTTATGGGGATTTGAAGCCATGTTACCGTGAAAAGGCAATGAGCCTTCACCAGCAACCAGACTAGACGAAAAAAAACGTTTAATTTATGGGTCGCAAGAGGAGCTGCAAAGGGGATCTGCAGATCTGTGTCATTTAGTGACAAAAATAATCGTGATGATGGTAATCATGTCACCCATGCAAAATCATGATAGTTCTACTTAGTATTGTACTTCCATGTTTATGTAAAGTCTCCGAAACAAAAAAACACCTACACAAAAAGAGGAGTGGGGCTTTTGGCCACCCATGGAAATCATGGGCTGCCCTTCCACAATACCATCTACACTTAGGCTTTGCGTTTAGAGGGGGCCAAGGTGAAGCCGCACACACGCAGAAATTCAAAAAGCTGCGCGAAAAACAAAGAGACACGCCAAGCACACACATACATACCCACCAGCGAACACCCACACACACAGACACAGACACAGACACAGACACAGACACAGACACAGACACAGACACAGAGACAGACAGACAGACAGACAGACAGACAGACAGACAGACAGACAGACAGACAGACAGACAGACAGACAGACAGACAGACAGACAGACAGACACAGACAGACAGACAGACAGACAGACAGACAGACAGACAGACAGACAGACAGACAGACAGACAGACAGACAGACAGACAGACAGACAGACAGACAGACAGACAGACAGACAGACAGACAGACAGACAGACAGACAGACAGACAGACAGACAGACAGACAGACAGACAGACAGACAGACAGACAGACAGACAGACAGACAGACAGACAGACAGACAGACAGACAGACAGACAGACAGACAGACAGACAGACAGACAGACAGACAGACAGACAGACAGACAGACAGACAGACAGACAGACAGACAGACAGACAGACAGACAGACAGACAGACAGACAGACAGACAGACAGACAGACAGACAGACAGACAGACAGACAGACAGACAGACAGACAGACAGACAGACAGACAGACAGACAGACAGACAGACAGACAGACAGACAGACAGACCAGACAGACAGACAGACAGACAGACAGACAGACAGACAGACAGACAGACAGACAGACAGACAGACAGACAGACAGACAGACAGACAGACAGACAGACAGACAGACAGACAGACAGACAGACAGACAGACAGACAGACAGACAGACAGACAGACAGACACAGACAGACAGACAGACAGACAGACAGACAGACAGACAGACAGACAGACAGACAGACAGACAGACAGACAGACAGACAGACAGACAGACAGACAGACAGACAGACAGACAGACAGACAGACAGACAGACAGACAGACAGACAGACAGACAGACACACACACAGACACACACACACACACACACACACACACACACACACACACACACACACACACACACACAGACACACACACACACACACACACACACACACACACACACACACACACACACACACACACACACACACACACACACACACACACACACACACACACACACACACACACACACACACACACACACACACACACACACACACACACACACACACACACACAGACACACACAGACACAGACACACACACACACACACACACACACACACACACACACACACACACACACACACACACACACACACACACACACACACACACACACACACACACACACACACACACACACACACACACACACACACACACACACACACACACACACACACACACACACACACACACCACAGACACACACAGTTGGGGTGGATACTTCCTGGATCTGTTTGCTTGCCATGTGCCACGCCAGGACGCTGAATGATACATGGTGCCACATGGGTCTGGAGCTTGGACTTTAGGTTCCCTTTAGGAGAAATGAACTAAACATGAGCTGTTCAGCACCTGGTAGAATGTCAGGATCCAAAGGCCACACAAGGGTGCAGTTACCATATTGGGGGCTGTAAGGTTGACAAAATTATCGAGCTTTCGCAACACGGTCGGTTCAATGTGTTGGGACCATCTCGGTTGGGCTGAATTGGGTTCGCTGAGGATTGCTTTTAGGCATTGGTCTAATTGCTTTGCTGCGGATTAGCACAAGAGAGGTGTCGGATGGTGTCGGTTTGCACAAGGCGGGTTTGAGATGGGGTGCGTTCACGGGTGGTACCAGGGTTGGTATAGGGTTAATCTAGGTTGGTACAGGGGTTGGTGTGGAAAGCACGTTTAGAAGTTGTGTGTTGGTTTGGAAAGGCTGTATGGCCTATCTGGCAGTTCTAGTGCTATTGGGGATGCTGCTTGGATCGTGGTCCAGGGTTGGTTGAGTTTCATGATTGGAGTGGGGACCAGTTATAGAATGTATATATTGTTGTTTGCTTCACTTTGAGTCACAGGTAAAATGTAATATGTATCCTAAGTCTACCCCAGGTTTGCTTGGTTGTAGAATTGACTGTGCGTAAGTGTCCGGAGGTGAGCAGGCAGCTGCAGCATGAAGGCCCACTCGAACACTGCCGATCTTATCCAGAGGTTCTGTTCGCAGTCTCTCTCATCAAAACTATCAGCACCTGTAGCTTGGGCTGGTTGTAGTCAGGCAAGCACTTTGATGCCATTAAGTGGGGATGCGCCAAAATAGGAAAACCTAAGCAAATTTGAGAAAAAACACATGAGCAAATTTGAGGAAAACTTGAGACAATTTGAGAAACCTGAGCAAATTTGAGACAATTGAGAACACTTGAGCAAATTTGAGAGAAAGTGAGCAAGCTTGGCCACCCATGCACAATGCATTTGTTTGTCTGCTTGGCATTCGTTCAGCATTCGTTTAATATTCTTTAGGGCTTCCACCTTTTTCTTTCACATATTGCCTCCTCAGTCACCGTCAAAGTCAGCCTAAACCCAAACAAACCTAAGAACATGTGCAAACAAGTGCAACCATAACGCTATGAGTGCCCCCCCCATTTGTTTGAAAACCTTGCAACAACATGTGTTGTTCTCACAAAAAGATCCCAGGAAATTACATTCATCAACAAACAAACAAAAACACAAGCATACTCAAAACAATCAAACATCATCTAATATTATGTCTTTTTCAGAAAACAAGCAAACATACTTTCTGAGAAATCTGGCGGTTCCTCAAACACCCTCCTGATCTAAGACCCCGTTTCGGATTTGGAGAATCAGGCAACGGCCCCTCTAACTTCCAGCACGTGTCCTGAAACCCGCCCGAACCCACGGTGGCTGTTTGTTGGCCAACTTCTGGTCTTCCATTTGCTCAAGTCCCCTGGAAATATATATATATATATATATATCCAGTAGTGATAGATTCCATTTAAAACCAACAGGGGAATATGACACATACTCTTTTCAGCAAATGGAAGTGGTCTCTGTGCGTCGTGGCGTCCCGTGTTCACCGTGCGGATGTCCGGCTCCGGCTCCGGCTTCGCAAAGAGCGCGAGGGAGGTTCGCCACCCGAAGCGGCCCTCGCATGCGGCCACCGCCGCGTTATGCGTCACCTCGGCGAGCGCAGCCGCTCGAATACGCCGAAGACCCGCGTGTGGGATGCGGTCAACACCCCAGAAAGAAAAGGAGAGGTGTTTACCCTCCCCCAGATTGCATGGAGGCTCCCAGGACTTTGGAAGACTGGGTTTCATCGTGCGGGAGTGGATATGGAAAACCACCTCGAAAATGTATTTTGGGCCGAAACGAAAGGCACCCAAAGGCTTCGGCTCTGATCTAGATGCTCACTCTCCTTGAGGTATGATGTCAACCCAGGCTAAGAAACAAAATATCTATCATAGAACTGCAGGCTTGCCAAAATATGCCAAGCAAACCGGTGAGTATTAGGGGGGCACTCGTTGACTTGGTTTGCTCCGGGGCCAGCCTCCAACATCTCTGCTTCAGAAGCCGGCCCTCAAGAACTACTTACTTCGTGGTTTGCCCTGAGGATGGAGAACAAACCACAGGCAACAGGTGATCAGGCTATGGGGTCTCTTTGCTTTGGGGCTGGTACCTTTCTGAGAATCAATGAGGGAAACCAAAGGGAAACCGTGCCCCAATTTGCATGAGCAGCTGACAATATTATTACAAACCAACAAAAAAGCACACACAAATTCCGATGCCCATCTGCAAAACTGATAGGGCACATTAGGGGACCACCCAAAACCGATACCCTGGTAATATTGTCAGTGAGTGTGTCTTTTGTTGAGGGTACTTTGGAGGTGATTCACAGGAAAACCCAAGAAACAAACACATAGGGCAAGCCATCCATGAGGGCTCCCCCATTTGGAGACGAGCTGTCGGCTCGTTTCTGGGCAAGCCAACGTTGCCAACCGAACAATGGAAATCCCGCATGAACGCCTTCATGTGGGTGTCCACTTGCGTAGGCCCCCTGGAAAACATAAGAACACATGTCCAGTAGTGATAGAGGTTCCCTTTTAAAACCAACAAGGGAATGACAACACTTGCTCATTTCAACAAATGGAAAGTGCCGCACAAAACCAAAAAACGCCTCACTTTGAGGTCCGGCGTGGGGACACAAGTTGGGCCACAGATGCGGACTCAAACTCACAGAGAATTCAGTCAAAGCTGGGATTGAATGAGTCACCCAAATAGAGAATCAAACGGTAGATATCAAGCACCGTTTTTATTTCCTTGATTGATGGGGGTCATTCACCAAGGTTTGCTAAACCCACCCAAGCTGTAGCAACCCCCAAGGCATCTCTAGTGGCGACCCTTTGGTGCAACGAGTGCTTTGTCAACCATGTTCAAGTATCTCCCTCGAACCAGCCGTATGAAAATGGGGCAAAGCGCCAACCATAATTTTTGGGGCAACCCCATTTTGATGGGTAGCTTGAGGGTCCAGGTTTAACCTCCTTGGTCTTTCCGACCTGCGTTGGCAACAACAGCGCAGGTCTGCCCCCGCCCCCCCCCCCCCCCGAAAATTCGGCCCCTTTTGACACATGGGTTTCAAATATGGAGTTGCCCGTGTCAAACCAAGTTGTAACATGGTCATCCCATTGTTGCATAAATCCCAGAAAGTAATATGGAATTATCCAAAAACATGTTTCCCTTTGCCGATTGGAAGAGCTACAACAACAGGAAAGTCCACATCATAGAAACTGGCTGTGGGATTCGAACTCCGCCAAATGCTTTTCAAAACTGCTTCCTGTAGAATTTCTTGCAGGTCTGCAAAAGACCTGGCGATTGAATCCGGTGTCCAATCCAGGGCGCCAGGTCAATGGTTCTCCGGCGCTGGAAGAATCCCAAGACCTCCATGGAGAGCTCCCACTCCGCGGCGCTGCCTAAGTCTTCTATTCGCCAAGCTCAGTGGCTAGCCGCGCTAGCCTGGCTACAAGCCACTGACTGGGTACCGGGAACGTCCGGGTTTAAGTCTACTTTGGGGTAGGCCAAAAACGGAACCCTGATTGGTGGAGCCTATGACTTAAGTCACTGGTGGGTTATAACTCTGGTGGCTAACCACTTACTAACTTGGCCTTGCTCCCAATTACCGAAAAAAAAACATGGCGCCGCGCTTCTTTCGTTCCATCACTGGGTGCGTGGTGGAACCGTGGAACCAGCCCCAAATAAACGAGGAGACCGGATCGATCCATTCCAGGGTCGAGCTGGGAGTTCCCCAAATGACAAGTTGCAGTTTACTGGTGGCTTTTCATTGAAATGATCGCCACTTTTGGAATGTCCAACAAGGGAAATGGAGGAAACCTTGTAGTCACCATGGTTAGGGTGTGCAAGCGGGTAAGGATTGTAGTGAGCAACAACCAGTTCGCCTACCCAACAGGTACAGCTAGCACGCACTTGGTGGGCCACGATTGGGGGTCTATGTGCCAGCGGATTGTAGCTCACTATTCCGCGACCAAAAAGAGGAAAAACAAGATACCCTTTACATAGTGTCTAGAGGCCTACCAAATGCTGTCCGGTTGCTTGGACCCTGGTGTTCTTTTGCTTGAATTCCCAAACGTTGAATTCAGATTCCTGGGAGGACACCTAGAAAGACCAAGATCCACTCAGCCCTTGAGCATGCGCAGCGCATCCCGGAACCAGGGCCCTGGTGCTTTTTTGTGGTTTTCCAGCAGGGGCCAGAAACAAGGCTTCCTCGAGAAGCCCAATGCCCTCGCAGCCCTTGTTTCCGGCACCTCGAGAATGTCAACTGCAAAGGTGTGAATTCAAAGACAATGGAGCAGGATGGAACTGAGTTTTTTTTGTTAACAAAAAACACTATTCAATTTGGAATCACTAGTTGCTCTGACTCATTTCACTTGCTTGGCGAGTCCAACATTTCGGAAATCCAAAATAAAAGCAGCTGTGATTTCAATCAAAACAAAGCACTGGCTCCATTGGGTGCATTGTTGGGTTGAATGCTCGGGTAGTTTTTGTACAAAACAAAAACAACACAACACAAAAACAAGAAGGAACCCCTCAAGCAGCAGCTCTTTCAGGGTTACCATTGTCCAAGTAATCCCTGAAGTGGTAGGTTAAAGGGAACCCACCCCAGGTTCTTTGATACACCAGTTGCAGTAGAAATCATGATCCTAAAGGAATCGCCAGAAAACCAGTGAAAGTTTTGATCCCAGTGTATCCTCACTTCCGAGGGGACTGGCCAAAAACAATCCCCAAACTTTGTGTTTGCCGCTTAAATGGTCCACACAGACCCAAAAAGTGACTAAAGTCCAACTCAGGGAAAGAGATTGAATGGAACCAAAGGGGACCATTTCTCTGGTGGGCTCCAGGTTTCACGGGAGGGAAACTGAATGAACACCCAACTCAGTTGGAAGAGTATCTGACCAAACCCCCTTGATTTCAGCTGCCCTCTAATTGCTGGTTTGGATTGATGCCTTGGTGGTTCGGAAATTTGGTTTCCCATTCTCGAGAAGAGCCAAGAGCTCAAATCCCCAAACCACCAATCCAAACCACTAGTCACAAGCTAAGGGTTGGCTGATCAATCTGTTCTAACCAATCTAGGGGTACCTTCCCCATGCTTTCCAGGCATCCTTCTTTCCAAAAAACCACCAAAAACCCTGGGGAAACAGCTGGCTTTTGAAATGAACGAGGGTCTAAAAGACTGGAAAAGGAATCAACCCCTAGAATCATGGGTGGTTTTTCCTTCTAACATAATCACAGGAATCTTGGCCAGGTCTGGTTCATGCGGTCTGCTTTGGTTCAAACCAACAGGTTCCAGCCGGAATCCGAAACCCAGTACTCGTCCGTCTGGGCTCCCAGCTGACGCAGCTCTGCCAGCAGATGCGCCGCCCAGCTCCAGCTGTGGCCCTGGCCATGGGCCGAAATTAGACAGCGGCCGGCGGTCTCGGCTTTCCCGGCACATATATGCATGTATGTATGTACGTACGTACGTACGTATGTATATACACATACACATATACACATTTATGTATAGATCAATAAATATATATATATATATATATATATAGATATCATTATATATACTAGTAGGTACCTAGTCATGGTTATAGGGGCATACCATTAGTCAAATGTATAACCGCTTGCATTCAGGCCAAGACATGTCATGAACGAGCTTCGGCTCCACATGTCGTTCAAGTCAGCATTGTTGGTTTTAGGGGAGCAACCCGTTTCAATGAGGATCCGGTTATCACTTGGGCGTTGGGGGATAGACTTTTTTCTTGTGGCCGGTGGCCGGTGGCCGGCGGCCGGCGGCCGGTGGCCGGTGGCCGGGCCGATAACCGTGGCCGGTGGCCGATAACCGGGGGCCGGGGGCCGGTGGCCGGTGGCCGGTGGCTGGTAGCCGGGGGTGGCCGGGGCCCGTGGCCGGTGGCCGGGGGCCGGTGGCCGGTGGCCGGTGGCTGGTGGCTGGCGGCCGGTGGCCGGTGGCCGGTGGCCGATAACCGTGGCCGGTGGCCGATAACCGGGGGCCGGGGGTCGGTGGCCGGTGGCCGGTGGCCGATAACCGTGGCCGGTGGCCGATAACCGGGGGCCGGGGGCCGGTGGCCGGTGGCTGGTGGCCGGCGGCCGGCGGCTTGCGGCCGGGGGCCGGTGGCCGGTGGCTGGTGGCCGCGGCCGGTGGCGGGTCGGCAGCCTTCTTTGGAGCCAGGGTGAATCTATATGCCAAGCAAACAGTAAGAGAAGTACACGCAAGGCAAGAGCCGGAAGGTTTGGCAAATAGGGGAATATCACGCCGTTGCTTTTTTTCAGAAACTCCATCCCCTGAACAGTATACTCGGCTGTTTTCCAATGTCGTCGCTTTTGACAAGCATCTCTTGCAGGCTCAACCTTGCTGACACCTGGCAGAGGAAAATACAGAAACCTACGTGTCTTTCACGGAAGCCTTCTTCGCTTCTTTGCAGCGGCACGCTGCTTGTCCCGCAAGCGTTGCAAGCATGTGAGATTGTGCACGTCCACACACTCGTGCACCACGAGCTGGGTGAAAAACTTGTTCATGTGGTGGATTGTGTGGCCCAACGGGCTGAACACGGAATTCACCGACTCTGCGATGTCCGTGGGGAAATCGCCCAGCAAGCGCTCGTTTGCCTCCGAGCTAGGCAAGCAGTGCTGCCTGCAGAACTTCCCCTTGTGACCACCTGCGTGAAAGCGGTCAATGACATAGTGCGTGTCTCCTAGCCGGCGTGCCACATCGGAAGCCCGACAGTGCTGCAGGCAGAACAGCTTCAAATGACAGGCGTCATCATGCACCACTGTCTGCAAGCTGGGCAACCGAGCAGCCACTTGACTTAGGAAGTGATATCGCTGCGACAGCGACTCTGCTGCAATGACCTCGTGCAAATCGAAAACCAAGCCTGCAGGGGCGGCAGGTGAACACGTTGCGCATGCATGGAACACAAGGAATGGGAGCCTGCAAGGGGAGGGTTTCAATGCAAACCCCTGCCCCTGCCAGAAAACAATGCCACTGTCATGTCTTTCACGCGTGGGCTCCAAGGTTTGCTAGGCACCTCCAGCGCTAACTGCCAGAAGAAAACCGGCAGCAGCGATGTGCTTCTCAGACTCCTTGTGTGTGTTGCAGCTGCTTTCGCCCCGAGCACGCGTGGAAGACCAGGAGGCCAGGAAAGTTCTCCTTCGCGGTCGCATCCCGGACCACTTCTGCCCTCGCGCTTGCGTCCTTCGCTGCCGCCTGCGCGACTCAACACGAGCGCTCTGCGCCCGACAGACGAGAAACACTGTGTGACCCCTGCCCGAGTCTTACAGGATGGCAAAAGAATTGGTTTCGCAATGACCACGCCTGCGGCGTATGTTGGCGTCAGCCAAAGTGGCAAAGTAGCGGGAAAGCATCTCTTCACTGACCGTGCAAGCTGGCTGCCAAGAGCCAAATCCTGCCAGCTGAACTTCGAGATGGCATACATCGTCAGCATCGTGCAGGGCTCGCTTTAGACGGTGGCGGCCAATCTCACCTCGACACGGGCGTCCTGGCTGGTCTCGATCTGCTGCGTGCTTTTGACAAAGTGTGTCCCTGCCGTGTGGTCGGCGGCTGCATGCGCGCAGAAGCAGCTTGCCCACATGCGGGGAGCGGAGCACCTCGGCAAATGGCATGCCGCACGTCCGCCTGTGAAGTTGGCAGTTCCCGTCCATGGCTAGGATGTCCTGGCGGTCGCCAGAGGCAATGAGCTGGGAATGTCGCCTGCAGGGAAGCTACCAGCAATGCAATCTCCTAAAAATTAGAAGCATAAACGACCAACGACTGCCTTTGGAACATGAGCGGCTCGTACCAGGACCAATTGGCTTCAATGAGCTGCTCCAAGGGCGATGCAAGAAGTTGCCCTGCCAGCTGCCTCCGCATGTCCTCCGGAGCATCTCCTGCACGTCTCCAGAGAATCTCCCTCGCCCATGCCTGCGACAGCTGCTGCCTTGCTTTCACCTGCACACTCGGGTCCAAGAGGCGCAGCAAGACGGCTTCTCCCTGAAAAGAGGCTCGGTGGAGAAACATTCTGTACCTCCATCTGCGCAGCCAATGACTAGCCACGCCGAACTTCTTGTTCAGGAAGAAGTACTCTGGGTGAGGCAGATCAACCCCGCGTGTGCGCCTTCCATCACGCAGCACCTCGACGAAGCCGCACCAAAACTTCTTGCTGGACCTGCAAAAGGAGCACACGCTGGCAACATGCCACGCTTTCAGAACGCTGGGCTCTGCAATGATCTGGCAGGAGACAGCGCCCGCTTGGCGAGGTCTAGCAGGCACTTTACGAAGACAAGTCTCCCGGCTGGAAGACAGCACGAGCTGCTGGTGAGGCTGCATGGGCAACTTGCAAGCTCCGAAAGACCCTAGGCTTGAAAAACATGACCTGCGCTGGCAGCAATTTTGATTTCTACTGCAAAGCCAACTGGGGCACCACACGCGAATGCCAGTTGCAAGGAATGAAACTGGCCCGATGCAACTAGGCTCCACTTTTTCCATTGCCCCGCGGTGTCCAAAACTCTGACGCATGCCAGTCAAAATCAGAGGCTCATAGCTGCTTCTTCTACTAGTGCGAATTTTGCTCAACCAACTGCACGACAAATTGATGGATTGGCCACTCACGCTGCGCTCCCAATCCCATCTCTCCCGGTCGGCGGCGTTGACGGCGCAGGCACAGCAGGAGCAGCAGGCGCAGCTTGGGACCCTGGCAGACCTGCCGCAAGTGGAGCTTCACCCTGGCCTGGCGGCAGCGTAGGTTGCTGCTGGCGGCGCTCTCGGATGGAGACTCGGCAGCACTGCATGGCCTCGTTGTGGAACAGCAATTGGTTCACGGAGTTCGTGGACCATGTCCTGAGCTTCACTCCGCAATCTTCTTTCTTGCGCGCAGAAGCAGGCGTTGGCTCGATGAATCCCAGCCGAGGAAATCGCTGAAAGGCCGCCTCTAAGACCTCCTTGACCTGCAAGGGCGGGGTTCGCTTGGAGAAATTAGGCATTGGTGACAAGGGCATGCGAATTTAAGCTGGAACGACATCCGGCACGATTGCCGTAAACCAACACCTCATGAGGCCCCCCAAGCCTGCGCCAAGCTTGGTCGGATTTTCCGGCGCTTGCCATCCTTGGTGGACACGTGGTGGTAGAGATCCACAACCCGGCTCAGCTTGAGATCACTTTGGCCGGAAAGCAAAACTTTGCGGACGAGGGCCCGATCCAAGAACTCCTTCTCCTTGAAAATCATCGTGTTGTTATTGCCAAGCCCTTGTTTGAAGAACCTGTCTGCCGGAAGAAGCTGTTCGAAAGTCAGCGCCGCTGGCACAGGCAGTTCTGCCTGTGTGTCATCCGCATCCGTGAACTCTTCAAGACCCGGCAAGGAGACGGGCTCATGCTCTGGGACCGCCTCTTTTGCTTGACCAGCAGAGGATGCATCCCTAGCCTCTCGTGGCCGCGTGGGGGTGGTCATAGCCTGGGTTGCGGCTGGCGCAGCAAAAGGCCCCAAGCCATGCACAGGCTTGACTATGTCGTTCTCGCTGTCCGTGTCTGGCTGCTGCTGCGCAGATGAAGGCAAGGGGCCCCGAAGAGCACAGCGGATCTGCAGGTTCAGCTCCACAAGGCGACTGGCCACCTGCTGGGGGGGGACCCTTTTCTCTTTCCAACCTGTCCGACAAAACCACGCCTGAACGTGCTCAGCCGTCACCATCAAGTTCCCTGATGCATCGAAAGATCCACCGCCGCTTGCCAGCGCCAAAAATGGCGACTGCGGCGGACATTTGTCCATGGTGCGCCGCTGCCCCGGCATGCAAGGCTTCGACGGATGAATCGCTGGTGGATGCCCGCACGCTCTGCGCGACTTGGCTGCCTGCCCGGCTGCGGTTGTTGCGTACATGTTTCCACATGTTTCCCTCACACAAAAAACGGGCAGCTAGTGGGCACTGAAACTTCCCTGCAGGAACGGGGTGGGAAGCCTCCACAACCTCAGAAATAAAGCCGCCGCCAAGTTGCCAAGGAGAAGCTTGCGAGCCTCACCTTCAACAGTTAACACTGAGTGAGGCCGCGAGCGAAAGTAGTCCGTAGCTCGCCGGGCTCCTGCTTGGATGTGCTCGGTTGGATCCTTCATCTGCCACCTCCCTGAAATTCTGAATTCGGTGCGCCATCCTGTCTGCTGTCCTGAGCGCACAACAGCCACTTGCCTACACCTACCTACCTCGTAATTGTGGCAAAGGACTTTGTTTTCGTGCGCGGCTTATTGCGCGCGCTTATGGGGAAAGAGCCAGATAACTTAAGAGACCGAAGGAAAGGCAAACTCCACGCAAGCGCGGCCACGGCAGACACATACACAAGACACTTGCCCACCACATATAATCCATTAGCTTCTTGACAATGAAGTCAGCCC